GAAGTGCACCTCGGCTTGCTTGAACTTAGAATTATCACATTCAGAAAGAATATGCTCCCTTGAGGTTGTCAGAGGGGTGTAGTCATGGAAATGACCGGCCAACCCCTTGTAGTCTTTGGGATCATAAGGCTTGTCCTCCCATTTCTTCTCCCCCGATGAGATGTTGAGGGTTTATCGTTCTTTGAGGATTTGACACTCTTTTTGTGCCTAGATTCCTGGGCACTGTTGGCCGCTTCCTTCTTCTCGTACTGTATGTACGCTTGGGCCTTTAGGAGAAGGGAATCGAGCGTGAATGGTGTTTCTATTCCTACAGCCTTGGCAAAGTCGCTGCGGGGACGAAGCCCGCGCTCGAGGAGGTACTTCTTCATATTGTCCATTGTCGGGACCTGGACCACTTCTTTGTTAAAGCGTTCAATATATGCTCACAGAGACTCGTTCCTGCCTTGTATGATTGCTTCGAGAGAAGCTTCTAATTTAGGGTGTCGATGGGAGGCGGTGAAATGCCTTTAAAATATCTCCCTGAGTTGTTTCCACGAGGTGATGGATTCGCCGGGGAGGCTCTTGTACCATGCCATCACCCCCTTCTTGAGAGTGGTTGGGAAGAGTCTGCATTTGATGGCTCCTCTGACCCCTCTGTAGTCGAGGAGAGCATCGATGTTCTCGATGTGCTCGTCACAGTCTGTTGTTCCATCATAGGTCCCCAAAGTGGGTGACTTCTTTAGGACAATAGGAAGTGGAGCTTCAGTCACCTCTCTCGATAGTGGGCCACGGGGCTCGTCATCCTCACTATCGACGGGACACGGAGAAGGAGAGTGATAGTTTCTCCCCCGTCAGGGGAAAAGGCTTCTTTGTTTCTGCTTTGGCTCGGGAGAAGGCAGTCGAGCTCTACCGATTTGCCTGTTGTCCTTCCTCTTCTTGAACGAATGAAAGTCTTGATCTCTGGGATGAGGTGTGCGGTTGCGTTTCTTGAAGAAAGAAACGTCGCGCCTCTCCTTTCTGGGTGGTGGGCCACGCCTGGGTGGTGATGCACTATGGGAGTTTCATCGTCAGGCTCTCTGAGGAAGAGATCTTGATCGTCTATTCTCCCAGCCCCCTATCCTTTGATTTTGTTGTAGGATGAGGGCGTTGGTTTGATTGATAACAGCGAGTAGTGCTACCATGGTCGGGTCGGTGTTGAGAGGGATAGGAACTGGTTGCATGACTACTGACGGTTCCTTAGTAAGATTCTTGGGATGTTCCTTATCCAGGAATTGGTCTTTGCTGCGCCGAGCATCCGTAGAATCTGGAGACGCGGTTTGTCCGTCCCAGAAGCCCATGTTATCCTCGAGGTGAGGGTGTTCTTGACTTCCATCGGTTTTACGTGCAGGAGAAAGAATGGTCTTTCTAGACATGTGAAGATCATCATGGTCGGCCATGATTAGAGAGATGAATCTTGAAAGAGTTGCTTTGATCTTAAGTTTTGAGGGAAAAAAGATGGAGAGAGTTGTTTCCCACAGACGGTGCCACTGATCTTGCCGGTTGATCAGAACCTGGAGAGCGACCAGAGGATGATCTGCAGTCGGGCTGTAAGCTGAGGAGAAAAAGGGGGTTGTACCTGCAAGGCACTTCAACGATCAAGTAAGAGTAGGAACAGAGAGGTACAAGCAGAAATATTACGTAGTGAGTAGTGAATATTGGATACCCGACCCTCATAGGTGTGAGGGTTTATATAATGCCTCTGGTGCATGGCCATTGGTTCTTGATTTCCCACCTAGATATGCGGGTCCGTAAATCAGGTAACTGTCAGGACTTGGTCAAACCGGGCAGATGTGCTCGCAACTAGCTGTTGGTCCCGCAGAGGGGGTTAGTTACGGGCATCTCTCTGGTCAGTTCCTGGTGGTCCGCACGACGTAGATGTCAGGCAGACAGAGAGGATGCTCGTCGATCATCCTGGGCCAGAGGTGATTCTGAAGGGCAAATGGCTGTCGTGCTCGACAAGAGAGGGTCGTGCGGGCGATTCGGGTCATGGTCGTGTGGACCGTACCAAAGAGATCTCTTGGACCGGGCCCAGTCAAACTATCGGGCCAGTCCAAAATAATATGAGGATTGTCGTTTCCGATGGGACTCGATAACAATGTTGGCTTAAATTTTAATTTGAAAATCCTGTTTTGGTCTGTATTTAAAAACTTAATTTAATTAGCTTTTTCACTAGAGTGAGAAGTTATTTAACTTGATTTTGCCATGAGAGTAGGAAATTAACTAAGGTTTGAGCCGAAATTGCGAGAGCGTGGGGGTCGAACCGAATAGTAAAAACTAGACATCAATCCTAAACACACCAAGAGTGCTTTAGGGTTAATTAGAACTTGTTTAGTTTTTAAAATGCGTTCCTCGATTAGAATGGGCGAGCGAGAGCAAAATCCCATGGTCAAGGAACGTGACTTTATTCAAAACCACGAGAGTGTGAGATATTGTCTTTAAATTGATATTTTCTGCTAAACACTTTTCCAACGTCAATGTAAGCTAACAAGTTACAAAGTCCCGAGATACACAGAATCCATATTTTCGCCTCTTTTTTATTATATATTTCTTTAATATTATTTTAGTCTTAGTTTCCCCTTAATAAATCATTCATTAGCCTTAACTTTACGAAGCGATGATAGATTATAGTAGATTAACATTGATCTCTGTGGGTTCAATTATCTTTTATATTACTTCGATATTTCCATGCACTCGTGAACGCATCAGCGACCAACGATGCCCGATACGTACACCTGCCCAAGTCAGCAACTATCTTTCCATTTGCCCGACACGAGTCGAGCATACAACTAAGAAACGTCCAGAACGCCTCTCTGCCTGTAATTCACCTCCTCTTCGGGACAAATGGCTAGTTACAGGCATGTATGCCCATTTTGACCAAGTCTTGGCAGTTACCTATATTTACGGACCCGCGTATCTACGTCCAAAAATAGAAACCAACAGCCAAGCGCCGAGGACATTATATAAACCCTCACACATGTGAGGGCCAATTATCCAATATTCAAACCTTAAACCTTAATATTCTGCTTGTATCTCTTTGCACCAATTCTTACTTGATCGCCAGAGTGCCTCGCAAGTACAACCCCTCTTTCTCCTCAACTTTCTAGCAAACCAAACATCATCCTTCGGTCCATTTGCAGGTTCTGATCAACCAGTAAGATCACGATTCTACCTGAGGGACTTAGATTCTCTAGACTAACTAAACTCTCACCTCCGAGACTTAATGTTTACTCAGGCAGAACATGCTCAAGAATCACGTCCGAGAGGCACGATAGATATCCAGCTTTGGAGACTTGACCATAAATCTTGCCTGAGGGTTCGATGGAAGTCTCGTTCAAGAAGGTCAAACACCTCTCATGTAAGACTTATATTCTCAAGCTGATAAAAACATCCATATAGGAAATATATCCTTGAGAGTCCAGGTCCATGGGATACTCCCCTAAGCCTCAACCTGCTATTATCGTTTTGGGAAACAATCCTATAAGAACATTTGAGCGGTCACATTTTTTACTCTAACAAATATATTTCTTATCTTCAATAATCTTAATTAGGTGTTACATTTTAGTTCTATAGAATCTTAAAAATAATATGATTGTCTTTCAAATCAAATAAATCTAGTTAGTATGAGTGCGATTGTCCCCCGTCTCAATCTTTCAAAAAATTCAATATGTAATTTAGTGTCACATTGTAATTTGTCAACTTGTGTTCATGTCTACTCATTTTCATTTAAACAAGTAACACATAAATGACCAATAAATATGTAAGCTAACTCGAGGTTGTGAAGACGCTATATCACTTTAAACAAGTTTTTTAACATCATATTTTTAATCAATCACAATCTTTTTAATTAAACCTATACATAACATGTAGTCTATTATGCATTTCACAAGGAAACAAAAAGGAAAAGTAGAACTATTGAAGTTGGTTAAACTTAGAATTAGAATATTAAAATTAATTTTTTAAAGAAAAAAAAAGAACATATTGAAATTATATACAATTTGGAGAGTATACAGCTAAAAAGAAGGGTATGAAACCAACTTTTGAAAAAGAAGAGTCCACTAGTTCTTAATGCCAAAAAGAAAATAGCAGGTTGATTATACAAAAAGAACTAGGTTAATTGAACGCGTTGAATGTTACTTGGTGCGCAGGTTAAGCAAAGGCGCACCCTCCGGACATTCTAGAAATCAGTTACACGCGTTTACCGTTTCACACCCAAAACCCTAGCTTCACTCCCCACTCTTTATAAACACCTCCTTTCCCTTTACTCAATTATACCTTCTCTTCAATTAGGGTTTCTCCATAGCCGCAATGTTTCTGATTTTTTTTTTGTTCAGATCGAATTTGAACCTCGATCGAATTTAAAGGTGACGATGACGAATTGTGATTAGGTCTCGTTCGTCGTAATGGCCAAATAGGCCTTGCCGACCATTCTGTTATATCACCACCCATATTCTGAGTCTCTTCTTTCTTCAATCAAATCACGCTTTCCGTTTTTCTTTTCTCGATTGCTTTTTTTTACTTTCAGTTGGCTGATGATTAAACAAATTATAGACAAGCATATGTCTGAATTAATTCATGTGGAAAATCTAATCTTTTCTATGAGGCCTCTTTTTCATTCTCTTAATTACGCTTAGATTTAGGGTTTGGATTAATTTCCCTCAATTAGTTTCAAATTTTACTGTTATTGTTCCAATGATGAGATCGATGGATAATATGTTAGGGTATGAATATAGATGATTATTATACCATACTGCCTTCCTTCTGAGGATTTATAAGTTTAACTTTTAGTTTAATTATCTTAACTTTTAATTTGAAGCTAGATTAACATAGTCGATGGAGATTCATGTGATGATGAATAGCATAGTTCAACTGATCTATTCATGATTAAACAAATCTTTTAGTCTTTCGCTCCTATCTGATGATTCTCTATTGGAGACTGTTAGTCTTAATTAACTTGTTGTTCATTATCTGTTTTATTTAAATTTATGATTTTGATTTGTATTTATTTGCTACTTTTGGGACATTCGTCTGCCCCGGGAGCAGTGTTTCTGATTTCTTTTGGGAAGAAGACGTCCCTTATATGTAAATTATCCATCTGTTTCACTTTGTCAGCTATTTTTTCCTATATTTTGCTGATCATTTTAGGATGGAATATTTATTAATTCACTTGTTACTATAATGTTACTATAATGTCGTCAATGATGATATCTTGAAGGCTTGTTTCTCAAAACATTCGCAGTGGCCGACCAAGAGTTTTCGCCTTCGCCAGGCTTGAGAGCTAATGCTGTTTTTATCCTTCCTTGGATGTCTGAGACGACTCTTATGCTATTTATTAATTCTGAATTTGTGTTTTTATTTGTTAAACTTTCTATGTTGTTTGGACTGTTCGACGATGATAAATCTAAGGCTTGTTTCTCAAAACATTCGCAGTGGCCGACTAAGAGCTTTCGCTTCGCCAGGCTTGAGAGCTAATGCTGCTTTATCCTTCCTTGGATGTCTGAGACTATCATTTTGTATTTTTATCTGTGTTACTTTTAATGTTGCATTTTAGTTTTCCCTATGTTTTTTAAATTCTGTTTTTTTCATATATCTTCGTTATTCATTTCAGAAATACTTATAACTCTCGTACTATCATCATTATTCATTTAAATAATGCTATTATCTCTTGTTATCTCTTGATGCCTATTCAAAATAGATTCAGAGTTGAGCGATGGTCTTGTAGTTGCCTTGTAAGAAGAAAAAATCATTGTACCCGCAGCATGTGTATGATCTGTTGATATAATTTCCCATCTCATGAAAAAGAGATTGATCATCTTTCTCATGGCAGGACATCTTCTAAACTATCCGTACTAAAAGAATTTGAAGTGGTATCAATGTCATGTTTCAAAAATGCCACAGTTGAGAATATATTAAGGAAGAATTACCTGCAGCTTGTTTTCTGTTGTTAGATAATTTTCTATCATGGAATCATCTTTCTCTCATGGCAGGGCATTTTCTAACAATCTGTACCAAAAGAATTTGAAGTTGTATCAATTACATGTTTCAAATACGTTGAAGTTGAGAATATTAATCTTTCTCATGGCAGGACACTTTCTAAGCAATCTGTATCAAAAGAATTTGAAGTTGTATCAATGACATGTTTAAAAAACGTTGAAGTTGAGAATATTAAGCTATAAGCTGATTTGAAAAGATAAAAATATTGAATTTTCTTGTTGAGGAGTTATCTGCATCACTTTGGTAGATACCTGTAACAGATATTGGTCGCCCATGCTAGTCGTTCATAGTATAATGAAATTTGGTTGAATGAGATGAGTTGAGAAATTGACAAGCAAATGAATAATCTTCAATATATGTAGGTCATACCGAAACCTGTGAATGCCTTGAATGTGTACAAGGATTCATTCCTAAAAATTAACAGGAAAAAATATTTATAACAAATGTGAATTTAGAAATTATTGTAAAAGGAGTGAATGAGTCTATTATATGAGCATCTTTGTTCATCTTTGTTCACGTTAGAGTACATGTATACCTCTATGGTGGCACAACACAAATTATATTATCAGTATTCACATACGACTTCAACTATTAGGGGAATACACACTAGTGCAAAGAATTAATTTATAAAATATGGTCTACTCTGGTAATTGGTTGCACTATAATCTTATTTGATTTCATACTCTCCAGTTTACCTATGTACTCCCAAAGCATTTGAACTTGTCAAAATATCCTTGATTTTAAAAAACTAAACATTTTCTCATCACAAAACACATAGCCCATTAAAATAAAAAATTGAAAATATTTGTGCAAATTCATAGAGATTTATATTTTTAATAAATATAATTTAAACATTTTTCACATCTTTTTATGCAAGAAAGTATATATATATATTTTAGGGATAGTTTTGTAATTTAACATATAAACGGGTGTGGTTTCGGGTGCGGGTTTAAGCTATCCCAAACCCGCACCCGAAATATCGGGTGGCACCCGAACCCAAACCCAGTCAATTCGGGTTTCACCCGTTGACTCGGGTGCGGGTGCGGGTGGGGCCCGCGGGTTTGGGTCTGCTTGCCATCCCTACTCCTTTTGGTAACCAATCCAAAGATCATCATCGTACAAAGCTTTGTCTATCTCTAAGTTACTGCCATACAATAAAACTAGGCGTGCACCCTTAGTTACTTTTCTCTAAGGCTTCCTTAGAGCTTACTCTCAAATAAGTCACAATCATATATACATTGCTTCACTCCCGGTAAATTTAGAATGATCAAACAACTCATCTTGCCAATGAGCTGAAAAGATTATTTTTTGCTATGCCATCTCTCAACAAATGAAGCTTGCATGTCATGATTGATGGTGTTGTATCCGGAAGCACAAAGACATTCAAGATCGAGTTATAGAGTGTACTTTAAAACCACTCATCTTGAGGCTGAAATAAATTGTGAATTTTCTTGCATAGTTCACATATAAAAAATAGAATGTGTTCAGTGGTTCGGGTCAAACTAATGTTTACTGGGTTGGACATTGTTTTAGTTCGAGCAAAAACTGACCCGAATTAATAAAAATCAAAGTTAATTGGTTCGGGCATCAGATTTTTAAATTGCTATCCGTAAACCCGAACCAAACCAATAAAATTCAATATAACTAATTCATACATTAAATTATTAATTTTATTTGAATGTAGAGACTAATTGTTATATCAATTACGAAGTACCAACAATAATGTAAGAAACTAAGAGTCACAGTCTTTCGACATTTCTAATGAAAAACAAAACGACATCATTCAGATTATCACAACTATATGTTTTGGTGTAGTCTCGTGTTGTTTTGGCCATAATTTTTAATATTGTATCCATTATGATGTTATTTTGAATTGATTCGAAGTATATGTGGACAAATTATGAATTTTTGTATAGACTTTGTTCTTCTTTCTTATTATATAGTTCTATTTTAATTCGACTTATGATAGTTATCAATTATATTGTTTTTATCTTGTATAAAAGCTATGAAGGGTGATGTATGAATTTAAAGTGACTGATCGGGACTTTATGAGTCTATTGGGATACTAACTGCAAGTATATAGTTTAGTCGTTCTAGTTTTAAATGATTATCGAACCCACAGAGTCTGAGGATCAATTACATACGATCTAATGCTACAATTGTTTAACTAAGCGATGAATATTTGGTTTTAGGGGGAAAATGGTTTAATTAAAAACAATAGTAATAGCTATACCGGTATATGATAGTCGGACTTCGGGAATTCGGTGAATCGCTTAACATATAAAGTATTTCGGTAAAAATGAATTATTTAAAAACCTGAGACATACACTCTCGTGTTCATGAAATAAGTCATACTACTAAACCTAGTGGATGCACTTTAAATTTAATAACATTTTTTGAAAACAATTTGAGTTTAATTAATTTGTTAAAACACTCTCATGTATTTAAAAATTAATGTTTCGTTACCACTATCTGGGTCGAACTCCAGCTCTCGCATGCAGGTTCTTGCCTTAATTAATTTCTCACTCTCGTGGCAAAATCGTGTTAATTATCCTCTCACTCTCGTGACAAGGGTAGTTAAATTAAACATGAAAATTGGAAACCAGAAATTATTTATAAATGTTTTTAGCCAAGTTATCACCGAATTCTTTCGGTACTTAGGAGTCACATACCGGTACAAATTAATTTAGCCGGACATAATATATTTAGTAACTATGCAACTTAAAATATAATTCATAAAAATAAATGACATAGCACAAGAATAAATAAAAATCATTCTGAAAACTAAAAATTACAGTAGGTATAAAATGGTTCAAAAGCAAACAAAATAGAATAATGCAAAAAAGCATAAATTTGGCTCTGTAGAAAATTCTTCGACCCTGGTCCATTGAACTGCCTCATATTTATAGAAGAAGATTTTGCAGTTGAGAGAATTTAGGAACAGCTTGAGTGGAGGAAGACTCGGATTGATAGTTACTGAAGTTGAGGAAATGCAGGAGAAGAAAATTGTCCACCACGTTGCCCACGTCTCCTGGAATACATAACGTTGTTTTTGAGCGTGTGACGGTCGTCATGAGGGGGTGACGGTCGTAATGCGCTTAAATAGCGCGTTACGCTCGTCAATGATGCGTGACGAGCGTCCTTCAAGTTGTGAGAGCGTTACGCTCGTCATGGGGTGTGACGGTCGTCACAGCTACAAAATCTGCAGACTTTGCAGATTTGGTTCTTTCTCTTCTGATTCTTGGTTAGCTTCCTTCATGTGATCCTTTTTCACTGATTTGAGTTGACACATGTTGTACTTGTGAAAAGACACAAAAACTCGGAACAATCGGGAGTTAAACGACTTAATGTATTATGAAAATCGATAAAAAATGTAGTAATTAAATGATACGATTTCTCGTTATCAAATTCCCCCATACTTAAACCTTTGCTTGTCCTCAAGCAAATAGTCATTTAGAAAGATCGGACAAGTTTTATCAAACACATATGCATGACATACCTTTGATTTCTAAAGCAATTTCGGGAAATCCCCGTCTGTTCGGCCGATACTTGAGTGAAACACTAACGATACGCTAATGACACAAGCAATAAGCTTAGTCGTAGGCTTCCATTTCAAATGAACTATCCAACAGTTCCGTTATAATTCTGCCCAGAGTTCCTCGTATCTATTTCACCCGGTTTCGTTCTGGCGCAATCACATTAAGCCCTTTGTCTTAGCACGCACGTAGTGGAGTAATCGGTTAGTGACTTTGATCCTTTTAGCATGGGGTCTGGTACACGAATGTGGCAACCCTGCATATGTTATCCAAATTTGGAGGTTGTGGGGGATCGGGTCGTAGCACACCCTACCAAGTTCAGAACCAGATACCTCTGAACCAACCAACAGTGGGTTCCTTCATTATTTGCTCAACTCTTATATGTGACCGTATATTTTGGTGCACAAAATTTTCTTTTCTTTTAGCAGCGAGATAAGAAGGATATTTCAATGATCAGGCATCAAACACTTATATTCATCGATTCTCCATGTGGTTTGTGTCAAGACGGTGCTGACTGCTAGTATAAACTACTTGGGGTTACTTTAGAACTAAAACTCAAGATATATGTATAATGGTTATTGAAACAGATCGCATAAGTAAGAAGTCTACGGTGTCACAACTGTATCGATCTTATTGATTCGTTTTCGGCTTCCTCAACTGGGATTTCGTTAAAATAGGTATGTCGGGCTAATGCGAAGATAAAGTAAATTTTTTTGGTATGGCTAAATAAAGCGAAGAATTTGAATTGAGACATATCATAAAAATTTACTTGTTTATAGAAGATGGAAAGGTACCTCTCCCACACAAAATCTGACATTGTCCTCAATGTTGCGGTATATAGGCGCGGAAATACAAATACAAAAACAAACAGAAAGGAAATGAAACAGAAAAAGTAAACTACTTAGAAA